TTGTGATGTTCTTGCTGCTGCTATAGAGACATTTAAATGCAGGTTTGTACCCCCTCATTATCTAAACCCTTCTTGCCGCTCCTCCTTCCTGCAGCTGCAGCAGCTCTGCAGCAGCAGCAGCAGCAGCAGCAGCAGCAGCGAGGGCAGCAGCAGCGGGAGGAGAGTGGGTTCTAAGAAGGCAGATGCAGGGTTGCTGCTGCAGGAGGTGAAAGAGGGCTTCTGGCAGGGTTTGCTGCTGCTGCTGCTGCAGCACTTCAATAAGGGTCTACGTGCTGCTGTCCCCACCAGCAGCAACAGACGTCGTGTGCTGCTGTCTGCTATCGTTCGCCTTATAGATTCTTCTCGTTTTCTTTGGGAGGATGAGGAGGAGCAGCAGCAGCAGCAGCTGCAGCAGCAGGACACAGCAGCAGCAGCAGCAGGAGGGTTGCTGTCGCAGCAGTTGTCTGAATGCTTGAAGGAATTGATGTTTAATTTAGATAGAAGGGAGACGAATGCTTTGCTGCGCTCTCGTTTGCTGCTGCTGTTTGCTTCGGGGCCCCTAGCACATCAGCTGCTACAGCAGCAGCAGCTGCTGCTGCAGTTCTGGCGATATATAGACGGTGCGCAGCAAACATCGTGGGATGCTTTATTTCTGTGTCTCCTCAAGCGAGGCTGCAAGTATGGTTGGTGTACAGGGTCTCCTCTTTGCTGCTTGCTGCGCCCTTTGCTGCCGCTGCTGCTGCAGCTGGCTTTAAGAACCTTCGAGATCAACAGCAGCAGCAGCAAATGTGCTGCTGCAGCGCAGCAGATACGCAACACCATCAATACCGTTCCTGGAGAGCTGTCTCCTCTCCTTCATAAAAGATTAGAGACGCCTAAACTCATCGCTAAGGTGCTAGTGCTGCTGCTGGAGCCCACAACTAGCAGCAGCAGCAGCAGCAGCAGCAGCAGCAGCGCAAAGGACTCCCCAGAAGCAGCAACGCTTGCAAGAGAAGCAATTGAGGCTGCAGCAAGAGTAGAGAGAGCAACAACAACAACAACCGAAGCATCAGCAGCATCAGCAGCAGCAGCAGCAGAATGCGAGCCGTCAGAGGTGACCCCCCCTGCCTCCCCCGCAGCAGCAGCAGCACCCACAGCAGCAGCAGCAGCAGCAGCAGCAGCAGGAGAGACAGCTTTTGAGCTGCTGGAGGTTCTAGCAAAGACTATGGGCCCATGGGTTCACCCGCAAACGGAGACACAAAGGGGTACAGCTAATATTGCTAATTTTTTTGTGTCTTTTATTGTCTCTTATTTAAAGAGAGTGCAGCGAGAAAGATTAGGTGAAGGAAAGACAGCTGTGGGGTGCGGCAGACACCTCAACGGCTGCTGCGCACTGCAGCACCAGCAGCAGCAGCAGCAGCAGCAGCAGCAGCAGCAGCAGCAGCAGCAGCAAAAGGTGTGGTGCTGCTGCAATGCAGAAGAAGGGGGGGTGCGCAGCAATATGCTAACTAAAGCAGATGATGAACGAGTCGTGCGCCTATTCCTCCCAGTCGTATTGGAGGTATAAACCCTAAACCCTAAACCCTAAACCCTAAACCCTAATCCCTTACTCGTAGCTTGGCTCAGGCATGGAATGCGATTGGGAGGGAGTTAATTAAATGGCGTCTTTACCTTCCCCCCAAACTTTATGTTAGGGTTTAGGGTTTAGGGTTTAGGGTTTAGGGTTTAGGGTTTAGGGTTTAGGGTTTTGGGGTGTAGTTGGTGTCTTTCAACGGACGAGTAACAACGCGGGTTAACAGCCAATAATCTCTCAGCCTAAACCCTAAACCCTAAACCCTATCGCCGCAAAACCCTAAACCCTAAACCCTAAATCATAAGCCCTCATGATTATGCTATACCCCTTCGTTCTCTCGCAGTGTATATGATGCTGCTTGTCTATTATAATTAAATCCCTATATGCATATATATGTAAATATACATATATACGTATATGCTGCTTGTATATATATATATATATATATAATCCTGTTTGTCTAATATAAGTGTATATATATATATACACCATCATTTCTATTTTTATTTATTTATAAACATAAATATATATATATATATATATTTATTTATTTATCTGTATAAAACAAAGATATACTTAGTAGTGTGTGTGTTGATGTGCTGTAGGGTTTATTTAACAAGGCCCCGCAGGTAGCCGGGGCATTTCAATGCGGATTGCGCAGTCTCCTTCAGCTGTCTCCTCAGCTTTGTCTTGAAGTTTTATTAAATCGTTTGTTCAAAACGCTGCAGACTGTTACTGACCCCAATCAAACCACAGTCTTAGAGACACTCACCAGATCCGCTCAAGCTATACTCAAGGTATCATTCTTATACTACTTAGCTAGCTAGCTAGCTAGCTAGCTAGATATATAGCTACATAGATAGATAGCTAGATAGATAACTACATAGCTAGCTAGCTGGCTAGATAGCTAGCTAGTTAGCTGCGTAGATAGCTATCTATGTATCAATATATATATATATATATATATAT